AAAGGTATTTCGGAATCATCCTTATTGTATATAATTCTATAATAAGTGTCCCGCACATATTGTATCATAGTAGCGCCTCTACAGGTCCGACACTGTCCGTCATCGCAGCTCGGCTTGTTCAAGCCAATCGCGCGGTCAGGATTAAATTTACCCTCCACACATTGTTATATTATGTTAATCGATTTATGATACTAAAAAAAAAAACGTCCTACGTGATATCATAAACTGGCATTATAAATCATTTATAAAGGTAGGTCACCAAATATCGGCATACCGTATCATAATATTCATATTATTATTGCATACATCATTTGACATGCAACATTTCAAGTTACAAAAATAATAAATAACTTTAACAAGATTAAATACTAAAAAAAAAATTTTATAATAACAGAACTTAAAAGTACTTATAATATATTCAGTAATTTTTTTTCTGAATAATACTAAATCTAAGTTAATAGATTGAATGGAAAGTTCGTCATAAGTTGTTCATATACTAATTAAAAAAAGGTAAGCAAGTGAATACCCTCAATACCCATTTGGCCAATTTGCTGTATATTACATGTTAAGTAAATTACTGTATTAATAGGTGCAAGTGGTATAATAATCGTGCAGTAGGTACGTAACATTTAAACGGAAAGTTTCAAAAATTTTAGAAACGAAAAATAAAGTTTTTAATTTTAAATAAATATACTATTAAACATTTAAAAATAAAACACTTTATTTTGTTATATTATAATTCTCATTTGTATCTATATACTATATTATATAAAACGTACAAATGTATGCGTTTACTGCTCGTATAAATAATAGGTACGTGTTTACACAATGTGCAACATACAACTGATGACTGAAAACATAACCGAACCATTTGTCATCATATTTCGAATAGGAAAACTTTTAAGATATGATAGAATATGATCGATATATAAAAAATAAATGTACTATTTTTATTACACATTTTCGATATGTACTTGTATTGTGTCCATTTATGAGAGATAATTTTTAATTTTAATACCAGTTTTTAATGTCCACGTCCACTATTAAGAGGTTATAACTCCTATTATGTGCATACATTTTGCAGGAGAATTTAAAAATGATGACTATTAGTAAGGGTTCATTATTTAAGTGTGTATTAATAGAGGTTTCACTATAGCAAGGGCGGCCAAACAATCGATCGCAAACAATTTTAAAGTCGATCGTGCTAGAATTTATTTTTAGGCTGCGCACACGAAAATTAATTATGGTGGTATAGTAACTTAATAATAATAAAAACTTTTTTATCGAAGTCAATTCTCAAAGGTGAAGTATATTTTTAGTAGATCGCGGCCGAAAAAAGTTAGACCGTCCCTGCACTATAGTATAAGCTGAAGTCTGCAGAATCTTGTTTTTAAACCTAACAAATTATTAATCATACCTATTAAGTGATGAATAAATGATTATTTAAATACTACTCTGTGGGCTGTGATATCTGGTAAAAGTATAAAAAAGGGATACGAAAAATTAATCAGGGTTTTTATCAATGAAAAAAAAATTGATATGGAAATACGGGAGCCTGTCGATAAATGCATTTTATAAGAACCATTAAAAAAGTTAATTAACATAATTATAAATATTATAAATATTAATAAACTTTATAAACTCATTAAATACCTATTGGTATCTACGAAAATGGAGAGATCAAAGGTAGCTATGGATAATGTAAATAATTTCAAGAAACGAAAAAAAAAATAAAATAAAATTATACAATAGAATAAGCTGAAGACTGCAATCTTATCTGATTTTTAAACAAAACAAAAATCGAAATAGATACATGGCATATTTACCGAACAAAAAAAAACCAAATTTAACTGACTTCCTTTATGGTGAGAGCAAAAAAGAAAAGAAAAAAAATACATAACCGCTCTGCTGTACAGTCGGGTACTACAGGTATGCTTGCTAATATAAGTACGAGGTACCTAGTCATTGAGTAAGTGTTACATTTGATTTCAATTTACAATGATAAATTATTGTACTTGCGTGTTTAAGTAAAAACAAATTGAAATAAAAATATTTTGGACGAAAACAGTCTTTATATATACGAGTATAATACTTAATACCTAGGTAGGTACCTATGTTTTATGATGTACCTATTCGTATACCTACGATAAGCTATTAAAATTATTTATTAGTTTTAGTTATAAATTTATAATACTATGATCAGTTAAATTGATTTTTTCCGAAAACATTGCATTAAAAATGCTATTGCATATATTATTAACATATACATTAAAAGTTTCAAATACGGACTAATAGCATTTTTAATCAACAACAAAGAACTAAAATCGTCATTGTTTTCTTAAATATTTAATTACACTCAAATTATAACTTAAAATATTTATCAAAAAAAAACTGTTTATATATTTTTGTAGATTTTGTGGATTCATTTTTAAGCCATAAACTTTTATCATTTGATTAATTGTAAGCTATAAAATAATTTGCAAAGTTTTGTGATTTTAATGAATTAAGTCAAAATTTAAATTTCAAATTCTTAAAAAATAATAACCGTAAATATCAGCGGTATTCAATATTCAAGAATAAATAGCCAATTGTAATATAATTAAATATTAATAATAATTTCCTTAGATATAGAAACTGATCGACCTTCTCTGATTAATCATTTTGCCTGAGCGATAATTTTAATTTATCATATACGTTGCCTGTAAAATCACCATACCTCTTTAGGTAGTATAGTGTTGCCCTTTAGAGAAAATTTGAACTTGATACGTGGAATTATAAAAAAAAGTTGTGTCAATATATTTTTAGATTGCTGTAAGAACCAAAAAAATGCACGTATTCAATTATTAAACTTTTACTCAGTAATAAATATTTTATCAAGGTTTTTTTCTTTTTTTATAGTTATTGATCTTAAACATCGATATATTATAAGGCCATTAGTTAGAAAATTCAGTATCCTTTAGGAAGTTAATGGTATTAATATTTAATTGGAAATCGAATAGCAGTGTTTCTCATAATTGTGATCTGTGATGTTATACCTTGAGTCTTTTTGGCTTTAATTCCGATATGCTTGACAGAATAATCTGCTAGTTCACACATGGGTAGGTCATTTTAGACCAAGAAGTGGTTTGTTATAAATGTACACTTATATAAGAGATTACTATGCAACTAAATGTAACGTAAGGCTTATAAAGTTATATACAATAATATATTATATATTTACAAAATATTTGAATTATATATACTTACATAGAAGTTATTATAATGTTGTACATTTTGGAAAAAATTAATTCAATGTACAGTATGGAACATAAATTAATTCAATGTACAATAACTACAGTATGAAAAAAAAAAAATTAATTAAAGTAAAATAAAATAAAATGAAAGCAGAAAAATGGATTATCCTTGAAATTTTGATGATACTTATAAGTTATGGGAAACAAACCTCACGATTCTAAACAAATTAAATGTGCGAACTATGAAATAAAATTATCTCGTCTAACAGCCAAAAATGTATTTCCAGCCACTGCTTAATACTAAATTGGTACTTTGCTTTTCTGTTTGGAGTTTATTCAAAAAATTATCTAGATATCAAAAATACTACATAAAATATAGAATACATTTTTAAAAAATTAACGAAAGAAAGAAATCTCAATAATGGACATTTGAAGCAACAATTTGATTTTATAAATAAGCTATTTTACTAAGAGAAAAATAGTAAATGATTAATATAATTTTGATAACTATAAAAAATAGTGGAAAGATAATAATATTCATAACTAAAAGAATAAAAAACACATAAGTACTGATAAGTAATGTATTTGATATTATTTATTAAGCTGTATTAATTGTTACATTGAACACAAGTAAAAACATTATTAAATTTAAACTAAAAAAAAACCTAAGTTAATAATAAGTACTTTGCTAATTAAATAATTTTCTATTGAAAAGTTTAGTGTCTGAATACTCTTAAATTAAAATATACAACTCAGTCACGCCATTTTACAACTAGACTAAATAATATTAATCCTTAAATTAGAAGTTAAAATAACTTTTTGTACTTCATTCTTTTTTATCAGGTTTACCTCTTCATAACTAAAATAAACAAGTTTTCAAACTAACAAAAAAATGATTTTTACACTAAATATTAAACAAAATAATTATAAAATATACATTCTAATAAATTATAAATACAACTCTTGAATTTTTAAGTAATTTATACATTAAAAGATAAATTTCATATTTAAGCTATATTGTTTGCTTTAATATTATTGTGTTATATTTTATAGTACATAAATATATTATATAGAATATTTAAATTATAAATAAATGGTAGTTTTGATAATTGTTATATCTTATAATTAACAAAAAAAAATATTAATATATTTATTATTTCTACATATTTAAGCATTAAACATATTATGTAACAACCTTTTTTTATACTAGCCTTTTGTATGAGTTCATAAAAATGGTAATATAACCATGCATAGAAAAAATAGTCAATTCAATCTTGAAATTATGCAAAATCATACTTTTGATCAATACTGAATTTCTCTCTTAAAACCCATCTGATATTCGAATTTACTTTATTGATGTATTTGAAAAAATAATGCAACTAAAAATTAAGTCATTTACAATAAAACTTTTTCATAAAATGATAATTGATAATATTGTATACAACTGTAATAAAGCTTTCAAAAAATTTTGTCTCTATTGAATCATGTTTTATTAATTTACAGTAAATTGTTTTAAAAAAAAAATACCATTATGGTTTTCTTTAACTGTTAAAAATGAATATTACATAAAATGGTACCATAAAATAGTTAAGAATGGTCATCTTGAATTAAAAAGAGATTGATATATTTGACAGTTGTAAAATATAGTTACTTTAAAAATTTGAAATTTACTAGTTTTGCAATAGGTAAAATGTTTATGCATTATATAAAGTAAAATATATTATATACAATATATGATTTTAAAAGATTAATATTGTAAAAGTTTAGTTTATAATATTCTATTTAATATATTTTTCTATGTAAACATCAACTATTGGTTATATACAAACATAATATTTATCCTGCCACTACTTGAAAAGCAAACACCTGTGTAACAATTCCAATTCCTTTAGTCTGCCCTTCTCTGAATAGTAACCTCATGCCTTCTGTTACATATTCTGGATGACGTGCAAACTTAAATATTACTGATGCAGAGTCATTTGTGTGCATACCTCGTTTGTCACACTCCATGATAGCAACAATAGCAGCAGTTTGTCGAATATTTCCTATATGTACAGTAGTTTGAAATCCATTATGTATAGACGTCGCATGATAAAGTACCACAATCCTAGCCTACAAATTAAATCCAGAAAATAAAAATTTGTTCGGCGCAAATAAATTGTAGCTTTACCTGAAAGAATATACAGGCACTATGATTCACACCCATTCCCAATAGCACCATACCATTCCTCAAGCCTGGAATAGCTTTTTCTAAATTTAAAGACGCACTCTGAGTTGCTTTTACTACACGACATGGAGCTTTATTTCTGTGTATAGATTGTACAGTAACTGGAACAAATGTTCCATTATCAAGAGGACCTGAAAATAAAAAAACTTAAACATGTTCCACAAGTACTTTAATACTAATAAAATATATAATAAATTTACTCTTAAATACCTATGACTAATTCTGTAGCTATATTGACAATACCTTGCGTAAGTACACCACCAACAATTGTACCAATATCTGGTACTTTAAAAATCTCATCTATTTGAAACTGACAACATTCCTAAAAAAATAATTCAAAATAATGTGAACATTAGAAAATGTAACATGTTTTAAGCTGTTGATAAATGTATTGCACCCATATAATAATTGTATTAGGCTATACAAATTTACAATTATTAAAATTGAATATCGTTAATGTCTTTAAGTATTATAATATATATGATACATACTTCCCACATCAATAATTAATGAAATTATTCAATAAAATATAAAATAAACAATCAATGATGAAAAAAAAAATAAAACAATAACAATTCAATTTTATTAAAAAAAAAATGTCTTCATTGATGTCATATTTAATTTGATTATTTCAAAGATAACACTATTTTATAAATTTTGATCGTTCAAACTACATTTTATATTTAGAGAAATGAAATAAAATAAAACTGTTTATGACATTCAAGGAACATTAGTAAAAATTGATCCATTATAACTCATAACCATTGTAACCAAAATGTAAAAAACATCTGATAACATAATACATGAGAATAATATTATGTTATATTTTTTTCACTAAATCGTGACTTAAATACAGTAAAAAATAAAATAAAAGTATTTGGATTAAAATTATTTCATAGTAAAAATCTGTTATCTTAGTTTTTTCTAGATTTTCTGATATTTATTAATCTTATGTTTAATACAATACAGTATACAAACTTTACTGATTATAAAATTATCATTATTTTTTACTAAATTTCCTTCAATAAATATAATACATACTAAAATATCAAAAATAATAATCATAAAATCTGTATAGTCGTTATATAGACAATGAATAGCCGATATAAAATAATGTAAAAGTATAATAGTTTTGCTAGAATCTTCAATTAAATGTCCTTAATTTTAATTTTTCACTATAACCAGTTTCTACTACTAAGCTAGGATTTTTCTATTACTATTTTCAAAAACTTGAGAAAAATGTATGTATTACTAGTTTAAAATAACAAGTTACAAAAACCTAATAATGCTAACCATACATATACAAACAAGATTTGCAATATAAACCTTAAGTATAGTTTAAAGCAAATACAAATAAGTATAACAAAAGTTTTTGTCAAGTACTATTCAATTGAAACATTAATTATATTATTAAATTGATGGGGCAATATATTTTTTATCGACCTTGGCAGGGGCCACACTTAAAACACCTAAATAAGAAAATAATATTATTTTACCTGTTCCAATCTTTCTTTTTCTTTTATACTTATACTTGGTGGTAAAACGTATAAAAATCTAGTAAGTAAATCTAAATTTTCACCAGTAACACTGGATATGGTAAATATAGGTACAACATTTTGTGTTGGCTGTGCTGAACTTGCTGTAATGACATCATCATCAGATTTAATAACAAGAGGAACCTGAAATGAAAAATGTATATATTTATAAACTTAATAGATTCTCAATCAGATAATAAACTAGTGATATAATTTACTTTTCGACACCCAATTGATTTCAATACAGACTCCAACCAATTGATTGTATTGTCTGCAGGAGTAATGTCAGTCTTTGTAACAACAATGCAAAATGGAAGCCTAAGTGCTAATGCTAAATCCATATGCTCTTTGGTCATGTCTAATTGAGTAGGACTAGAAACATTGACAGCTGGACTGCTCACAACCAACATAACATGATTAGGACAGTAACCACTTAAACCAGCTACAGTAGTTTTAAGATATTTTTTATGTCCAGCCAGATCAAGGAATGTGATCAACTTGGATGATCGATCTCTAATCTCTTCAGCTGTACGTGCCTTTTGATAGTTAATGACATCGCCCTTAAATATGTATAAATTTAAATCAATTAATTAATTCAATATTACTAGTAAATAGTTATGATAAAAAAATAATAATAAAAACAATATGATCAACATATTTCTTAACAAAAACTAAAAAAACAATTTAAAGTTACGGACAAAGTTATTTATTTAAATATATCCAGAACTAGTATCTTTTATTTTTATATTATATCATAATAATTAAAGCAGTGACCCTAAATTTTTGTTTTTGATTCAATTATTTAAATTATAAATAAATGTACGAATATTAACTATAATCTAGTCATCATTTATATATTGATAATCAATAATTCATTTTAGTTACCTCAGTATCAAAACCGAGAATTTCATGAGATATAGAAGAAGTTCGTCCAGATCTAAGTTCATGTAAATGTCTTAAAACATTTAACCGTGCACTACCACGGCCGTTATCGAATTCGCCATGTGCTAAGACACCAAGAAGAGTTGACTTACCAGCATCTGCACCTCCTAATACAGCAACCATAACTTCAATACATTCTTGGTCATCTGGAACCTAAATCATACAAATATTATTAAATTAAACTTGCTAAGAAAATATGTAATCATTTTATACTGATATAAAAGAAAAAAATTATAAACCTACTTAAAATGATTATATCCTTTCTTTAACCATATATTATACAATTAATTCAACTAGTAATTGCTTTAAATAATAACTACATAATATACTTGATTATAAGTATTAACTACTAATAAATTATATCTAAATTAACTAGTTTTATAAAAAAAAAAAAAATTGGAAGGATTAATGTTTTACATTAAAACCGATAAGTTTTACTACTTAATGAAAATGTACTCATTTAAAATTACAAAGTATTTAAACTGCTTTTAATTCTAACATATTAAATTATTAATTGTTTATTAGATATAGATAAAAGACTTTAGTTGAAGCTGTACTAAAATAAAGTATGCCCTTGAAATTTATACATGAAAAACAAATTTTGAGGGTTACCATAAACAAATAATCTTCAAGATGTATTATCTTCAATATTCAATATCATTGATGGCAAAATCAATAAAAGACATAACTATATGATAATAAAATAATTATACTTTTTTGTTATTATTTTACTTTTCATTATTTATCAAAAAGATTGCTAAAAAGTGAAGTTAAATGAGAAGTCTTTTTTAGATTATAAAATTAAAAACATTTGATAACCTTCATTTTCAGTTTAATAAACAATTTAATAGTTAGAACAATGCATATAATTGAATGCAACATTTATTGTATAATCAGTTTTTATTCTACTAATAATCAATTTCTTGAAATATGAACTTGACTTTCATTTAAACAATTTGAATGATATAGATGAAAAAAACAAATAAGTAAACAATTTTTTATTTAATAGCATAAATGTTTCTTTTATAAACTCAAAAATCAATAAATAAAGAAGTATTTTAGTTCTAATTAATTTATTTATAAAATATTTTATGTAAATATTACATAATTACTTTATTCTAATAATGTGTAACGATACATATTATTTTATAAGAAAAAATATCAATTTATATTTATAACTAATAAGTTGAGAAATATGATGCAATAAATTATGAATAATGCAAATTCTTTAAATGTTTATACTATGATTAGATCATAGGGTTATAACTATTATCTTAAAAAATTACTTAAATTCAATTCATAAAATATTAAAATAGTTAATATTTTTCTTTAGGTAAGCAGTTATTTTTATCTAAAAACTAATACAGTTTATATATATAAAGATTTACTCATAAAGCATACCTATAAATGATAATTTTATATAAAAGATAAAAACCTTTCGAACTAAGACTTCCGCGACTATTTTATCTTTCCCAACAGATCTTTCTCGTAATACTGACGTAGTGGCACCAAGTTTAAGGGCCATTTGATCCAAAGTGATCAAACTGGACTTCATATCATCAGAAGACAATCCGGTCAGCTTTCCAGTGTCCTCAACGCCAATTTCATAAATGGCTTCACCATGCCCCTCTCTTAGCCTCCACTTTAGCTAATACAAATAAGCATAATGACATGAATTTTGTTGAAAACGGAAAGTACAAAACAAGTGTCTTACCTGCGTGACTAGATGTTCAAAGCGCAATTTTGACGGACTAGTCAATTTGAGCTTGTACTCTACATTACCCATTTGCGGTTCAGGTGGCAGACGGGTAGCGTCGTCGTCGTCTTCTGGCCATACGTCGCAATTGGTCGGAGGGCTTGTGCCCGGGTCGAATAGGTCCAGGAACGAATCCATGTCGGTCGTAGGTACTGCTTTAGATTAGTTCTTCGACTAAAGGTAATTTAAAATCATTTCACCGCTCAGCAACCGTCTATCAGACAACGTTGTGCCGCGCCACTGTTGTCTCCGTAACGGTAAAGCGATGAGTAATCGCTCCACACGTCAGGACTCAGGAGTGAGTGGCGGCAATTCGTAGTCGCTGCTACCGGATTTATTTATAAACAAAGCAACACAAGGTCGTCCGTTTCGTGTTTTGGCAGTTTCGGGATATTGCGGTAGGTACTAGGTACGTCCTATCTGAGCGGTTATCAGTCCGACTACTGTTATCGCGCGACGCGAAAACATCCGATGATACGATGTTTCAACTTTCAAGGGCAACTTTTCGAACAGGTGTTTTTTTTCTTTTGTCTTTTGTTTTTCGTTTTTTTAACTTTCCGTGCCAAAACGTGAATTTGCGGGACCTAGGAAGATAATATCTACTCGGTACTTACCCACAACACTGACCTCCCGTTTGGCACTTAAGTGATTACATCAAACTCGTATTCACTTGTTGTCGACCAAACACTTTCAATCTATTAATAGCGTTCAGAGTAGTTATTTTATTTATAAAAATACGAACAAAAACAGCGATGGTCGATAGAACGCGTGCACAGATTATAATATATTATTTTATTTTAACAAAAGTAGTGTGATAATTGATAATCTATTTATTTTCACGCGCTTAAATCAATAAACATTACATAATAACGCAGAGTAGGTAACAATAATAATAACGGGATAAGCGTAAAACAGTAATCGCATGAGTGTGTGTTATAGATAAACACAGCATATCCTACACGTGTGTAAAGTGCAGTATGATCAGTATGAATGTATGATGTTAACTATTATTTGCTGTGCACTTGTGCAGTCGGTATAACATGGGTAGAAATTAGATAGTGGACAGTCGTAAAATATATTATAAGAACATTAAGAACTGAACGCCGTGAGTGAAAGGCTCGCGCCGACTATTGAGTAATAGGTAGGTAGGTACGGATTTAAAAAAATGACGAAACGCTTATACATATGTCCGTACAGACACAATGCTTTTGATTATATAACAATATATACCTATACGAATAAATTAAGTAATCTAGTTGGTAACTGGGTCAGTCGCCGAACTTACTTATTCGTACACCCAAGACACAAGTGTACCTATATCACATACATAGGTAGTAGATACATAATACCTAAGTATATGATATTATATTATATATATTTCATAATTATCCATTTATTTATTTGTTTACTAGAATTGAGGTTTACAAGAATGAGTAATTTATTGGTATTGAAATGTGTTACATCACTATGGGTAACAATTTTGTGTTGATAGACGAGTCTCTAACAAATAATTAGAATAAAAATTTAATAATAAACCTAATACCTAGAAATAATAAAACTAATAATTATACTTAGAATTATATATTATAAATTGAAGTTCATTGTACTGATAAAATTAGTTTATGGTTCAGTAATAAAGTATATAAAAATAATATGATGAATGCTAAATAAAAAATATAGGTACATGTTATAATTTATAATACCTAGTTATGAGATTATTTTATAAAATTAATTCACTTTATAACTTTCTCTTTATTAACGAATTAAAAATTAAAGATTTTTGATGATTGTTTAGTTGAAAAGGAAGATTCTTGTATAATTTTAATTAAGGTTATAATATTTTGAAGACTTTAGAAAAAATTTTATTTTCAGATCTTGTATCATTACGATAGAAATGGCCATCTAATGTTAAATTGTTTTGTGCTAAATAATAGTGTTTTTTATGATATCATTTTTAGAAAGGTATTTTGTTCTATTTATATACAGTTATTATGTGTTTGAGGAGCTCCTCTTCATACCACACTATATACTATATATTCTATCTATTATATATGTATAAATTGAGTTAAGGTATAGTATGTATTTTTTAACGAATGTGTATTTAAAAATAGTTTTGCCAAATTATAAAAAGTGTATAGGTAATTTATAAAATTTTAGATTTAATCATATAAGATTTGCATATTCCATCGTAGATGTTGGTTGAATATAATTCCTATATATTTTGTATTATCAACTCTATTTATAGAGTATTTACATGTACTTATAGATTACATATTATATTAAATTTGGAGATAGACAGATATAGGTAAATACAATGACGAAGATACTGGATAATAATATTGTACCTAGAGGTACCTACTCCTATAAGGATATAAATTTACTCAAACTTCTTACATTGTCTATTACTATTTTAACTGTGCGAGTTTGGTTTTTCTAAATAAGATTTGAATAATGTTAGAGCTTTGTCTTTAATACCGATTTAGTTTATATTATTTATTTATTTATTATAGCATACTATATCGGAGGTTTTAATTATGATATCCATAATTAATATACCGAACGATTTTTTTTTTTTAATCCATTGCATGAATGAGTTAAATTGGTACTAGTGCTTTCAGTATTTTGTCTGTTTCTTAAGTCAAATTGAGTTAGAGGTAATATTTGGTGTGCTTTTAGACAATAAGTTAGTTTAATTTACTTTTTCAAATAGTTTAGAGAAAATTGTCAAAAAATATTAGTCTATAATTTTCTACATTATTTGGATTACTTTTTTTGTAGATTGGTGTAGGTAATTATTATTTATTGCTTTTTGAAAATTGGTTATACAGTAGAGGCCGCTTATAAGACTCACTTTGGGACCAGCACAAAGTGAGTCTTATAACTGAATGAATCTTATAGGCAAAGTGGAAAAAAAAATTAATTACGTATTTATAAATTTTATTTTACTACATATTTTGCTTTGATTTTAATACATTAACACATATTACATATTACATACTTTATTATTGAATACATTTAATAATCCCGATAAAAAACTAAAAATATAATCGTTATAACTATCGTAGTGATAAATGTGAACTTTTATCTGCGATAAAAATTATTATACGTTATAAGGTATCAACAGAAACTAGAAATAATCAACACGAATATTATTTCATTTTTCAAAACCAATTTTTTTCTAAATTATAACCAAAAAAGTTTATTTTCTACTATTTATTTTACGAAATTTGAGTCTTATAACCGAAGTGTTGAGTCTTAAAACCGATTTTTTTTTAATGTATTTGGATACGTCCGGACCGTTCCAGACGATTTTGAGTCTAATAAGCGACTGAACCTTATATCCGTGAGTCTTATAAGCAACGTCTACTGTATTAACATATTTAATGTTTACGTATACGGTATAACTAATATTTATGTCTTGTATACAATATAGCAGGGATCTTCAATTAATATTTTTGAAAGGCCACATTAGAAATCTAAAAAAGTTTCGCGGGTCATCAAAATTCGAAGTACATATTTTTAATAAATTATATAGTAGTTATTATTTTAAAATTGGATGTACCTACCTACTTTATGAGAATATTATTTTTTATTTATTATTTGCTATTGTTTATAAATATAAAGAACATAATTAACATTACAAATATTTGAAAAAATTTAAAGTAAAAATTAATAATCCACAATAATAACACATAAATGTCGAAATATATGTTACCTATTTATTTTTTGCAGTTTGCAGGCCGGATAAAATTTATTCGCGGGCCGTCATAATTTGGTGACTTCTGGTTATAGAATGTCTTGCGACTTGTTCATATAAGTTTGTTATGAATAGGTAGGTGCTAATATAGTACCTACCTACCTATATACTATTTACAAAAGAGGCGTGTTTTTGCATATATTAAATTTATTATCAGTATTTTAAATTCTTATGTGTAATAGAAACTCATAACGATATTAGGCTAAAGGCTTATATTGATTTTTTTCTACCTGTAATGGTTTTTGAGTACCTACGAGTTTAGGTTCTTCAACAGTTTCATTTATAGCGTATATTCCAACGGGGCTAGGTTAATTGAGTCCGAAATACTATTTTTGTGGTAAACTGAGTTTTGAATTAGTTTCTAAAAAAGCACATTTTCCTTCTCACTTTTATAGATTTGAGACTGCCTGTTATGTTAAAATAACTGGAGTGGTTAAAAATGTGTTTTTTTTTTGTTTTTAATATCTAATATAACTCACTACGTTGTATATACAAATTCAATTCAAATTGTTTTTAATTTTTTTTATTAGATACTGTTTATCGTTACTATGAACATAGTAAAAATGTATTTGATATACTCTTAACGAATTCAAATTTTGAATTTTTTTGCAAATCAGTAATCGATAATTACTAATTGGTGACTAGTCATTAGACGGTACCTACTCATTGAATGTAGAGACTTTTTATTTTTATATTTTTAAATAGGTACATTGTCGTTATTTACAAATTATTTTTTCGAAAAATATTATTACTTGGGACTAAATTTACCTAGTTTTAATATCAACTCAATTATTTGGGACTCAGTTTATCATTCCTGATTCCAACATTATCGACGTGGGCACCCATATATTATTCCCATCAAAATTTGAAATTACTGTTTTCACCAATCTACCTATGGTAAAATTGTCATGTACATATTCAACATTTTTTTTTCAAAATGATAACTTATTAATTTAAAAATACATAATAATGATAAAAAAAAATACATTTTTCATTATATTCACAAGCTGTGTATAAGGTTACCTACCTAACACAGTCACACAGACATACCTATAGAACATGGAATTTTCGTAAATAAATCCATAGGATTGAAACAACATAACATAAAAAAACTCTTTATGCATGCTATAAAACTCTTATCGATCACAACTTATTTTATACATATGTATACAAAGTAAATTGACCTATAATATGAAAGATTATAACAAAAGTATCATATCCTGTAAAATCAATACCTATATCATTACTTGATATCGATAGGTATCGTTTTAATAATTATAAATAATTTACATAGTACATTAATACATACAGATCACAATCACGAGGCAAACAGTATAATCCATAGGCAAGACTTTTCTATTTCCTACAGTATGTAAAATAAAAGTAATTAAAGATATGATTTAACGTCTAAAATATATTATTTTATCAGTATATTCATCTAATTTTAATATTGATAAAAACAAACAAAATATTTTAATTCTTAAAAAAATGTATTTATTAAGTAAGACTCAAACTTTTTACCAATAAATCCAACTTGTATAGACAGTGAAGTAAATAGCATTATTATTCTTATTTTTAAATCCTTAACTTCTAAAAATGAAAACTTTTTAATGATTAATAATATAAATTCAAGTACAATTGTTGTTATGATGTTGCATAATACTTACTTAAAATTGTCATATAAATCATGTAAATTTATTTAAAGTTATAACTTAAATATACTTTAAAAATGATCATATTTATACTTAATTTAATTACATAAAATTGTTAGGTTCAGAAAAAATGTCTTTATCAAAGTCGATATGTATATCATATGTTTTCTGAATATAATAAGATATTATTTTGGAAAATATAGAAGTAAAATAAATTTACCTAGACAAGTAAATTGCCGGAAACAGGTAATTCCTGGGTTCTTCCTGCCATCATATCAGTTGAATAGAATTTACAAGTAATATTTACTGTTATATGCATTATATCATTTCTTTTGGTGTACCTACATATTATGACAGGTGGTTAAGGGTACATAATATCATCAATAAATGTCAAATTATGTTTGTTTAGTCCCTTAAATATGATTGCTATTAAACAGTCCATTGAAAACCTTGCTGTTTATATTAATTATTTCATACTTGTTAAACTTATTGAAATGAATACAATATACTCATTATAAGAAGGTAAAACATAAAGATACATAACAGTTTTTACCTTTGAAAAAATGTAAATAGCTATTTTTAAATTTCATACCATGTTTACAAAATACTAAATTTTAATCTATTATCTTTTAATATACTTAAAATTGAAATTTACTTTTGTACTTCAGCTATTTAAAAAAAAAAAATATGGATGTCATTAATTTTAAATACCGAAGCAGTATACATTAATATGTTAATATGGATACCTAAATAATAAATCACTGTCAATAATTTACTTCTATTGCCATTGCTAAAAGGTGAAGGTTTAAGGGCAGATATTATAGATATTATATAAGATAAAGATTATTTTTGATTATTTACATACATAGGATTGATCAGTATTGTACATAATATCATATAAGTAATTTATACAACTAATAAAAACTTACAATACTTAATATTATATTGGTTATTGGTCTATAATATGTGTTAATAGGTACTTATTACAACTCCCAACTATTTATGAATAAATTCAAGTAGGTATATTTTACTTTGATATTCACCAAAAATAATCTATACTATTTGATTAAAAAAACTGTTAAAGAATTTTAATCAATACTTAATGATAATATTGTATGCAATATATAAATATAGATTACTAGTAGGTTACTATAATATTTTATTTTATTGTATTTACTTCTAAAACAAACAAATAAATAATAATTTTAACATAGGAATAATACCAAATATTCATGTTTCCAACGTGTTGTTTAAAGCATGTAATAAGTAATAAGGTAATATAAGTTACACAAATATAATATGAAATTATTTTTACTTTTTTATTGGTTACAGCTTAAAAATTACAACTTAAAACCATGATAGTTATTTGAACATTTTTTTTTATCTATAATATAGTGTAATAATGTGGTACTAATAAATTAATGTTTTAAGAATTTTAACAAATATTTACATAACTCAGCAGTTTACTGTTAGAGTTTAATATTTCAATCAATTTAAAAATAAAAAATTGTATATATACACACACACACACATATATATATAAAACAATCGTTATTTATTAACCCATTTAATTCTTAAATTACTTATTCAGAACTATTATTTACATTTTTAAAACAAAAAACATACCAGAGTCAATTATTTATTGCTGATTTGCATTCATATTTTACTTAAGGTATTTTAAAAACAATTGATACATACACATACATAAAAGAGTAATATGTTATATTATTTACTAATCATAATTATTATAAAATAAATAGGTATATTATTTTTAAATTTAATATTTTATACATAAATAATAAAACTAATTATATAAATACCAAAATAAAAATAAATATAAATAATTAAACATTGAAATTTCAGTCAACACCACATTTTAAACCCACAAAATAAAATATAGAATGTAATTTATAAATAATATCATAATAGAATAGCCTTATACCTTTTAACTTAAAGAGCTTACCATAACATTATTACATTAAAAAATAGATGTTAAATTTGTATAATTACCAATTCTGAATTTGGTTATTTATTTTCTTCTTCCGGTTTAGGTATAATCTGTTAAATTGAGGAACACAGAATTACTTTTCTATAGTTAGAGAAGTAACCAGATTATATTAATATTACATTTTTTATTTTAGATAAATAAATAAACTTCTCAATATTTTAAATTTTTAAGAGGTAATATGTATCCCAATTTAAAACATATTTTGTCCATCAGTAATTTAAATAGATACATATATTTTTGAATAACTTTGGTTAAATTCATAGGCAAGCATGTGTATACATAATTAGTATTTTAACTGATGTTAATAAAATTAATTATATTAGGTACACCTAATACAGGTCAATTAAATGTTAATAACACTGACAGAGTCTAATTTTAAAGTTGTAGTAGAATCTAAAGAATAAATATATACTTAATTGATTTTAGAAAATTATTTTTTATAGAAAAATAAACATATAGTTTGATTTTTTTCAAATGTTTGATTAATACAAAATAATTCAGAATACTAATAAAATAAAAAGAAAAATATTCCAATTACCTTTAATAAATGCCTCCACCAGTAGGAAGTAGCCTATAATAAGTAGCCATACAGTACTCTGTCTTAGTGCACACAGAAGTTTGACTGAATAGTAAGGCATTTACTCTGAAACATTTGTTTCCCTTCAATATGTTATATTTTGTTTTAAATATTATAATTAATTGCATTAATTGCACTGACTAATATAGTATGTAATATCCAATTCGTAATAATCCGATTGAAATAAATGTTTAGATTAACATTGCAATATTGTTCTTGAATGACCAATAATCTTACATTTTCTGAAAACAAATGGTTTTCATAACATGGAAGTCAGTAAGTTAAACTATGTGTTGATATATATAAAAAAAAAAAAATAACATTTTATTTCTTCAATACGATCTATAATAAACACAAAATGGATAAAACATACTATACTCTACTAAACAAACTGAACGTAGGTACCTAATGGAACACAACATTGATAAAAGCCAATCACTTGTATGGCATTTCTTTATTCTTCAGGTGTTGTTCAGTGAAAAAACAAATATTATCCATCCTGAAAGCATTTATAAGTCAAAATACTTTTTTTCTTGCAAAAAAATATGCAAAAGGATATTTTTGAAAAATGATATGAATATAAAACATTGATATTTGATATAGTGTATTGATTATTATTAACATATAATTAATACACAGTAAATATTTTTATTAGACTTTAACATCCTTCCAGCCCCTTGGGGTTCACACAAAATGTAAAATACAACTACAAATGAATCTCAGGCACCTAATGAAACATGCCAATAATACACAATATTAAATATATTAACTATAATAGTATTGTATAAAATTATTTTATATATTTAATTTATTTGTAAGTCACAGTTTCTCATCAAAGATTTTATGATTAATCAGTTTGATTGTTTGTACCAGTATACAAAATGCAATCCATTGTATTTTATACAAATTATATTGTCAACAACGTGTTTTATATTCAGCTTAGACACCTAATTCCAATTAAACATTAGGTATTATAATTAAGTTACTTTTAACTAGGTATTATAATAACACAACAAATACATGAATAGTATATAGCATAATTATAATTATACAAAATTCGCAATTGAGTTAACTGAAATGGTGAATGCACTCAGTTCTTCATCATTTTTACAACCTTATAATAGAAATAACATCTAAAATAATATAATAATATAATGTATGCCTAACATCTTATTAATAAAATGTCAAATTGTAGTTACACTAGATGGAATTAACAATATATTGTAATAACCTAATCTAGTATATATATATGTATATATATATATATATATATAAATAAATATATATAATATACAAATTAAATATTGATTTTACATAAATAAATAAATATATATATACACACACACACACATATATATTTATAGCCATGCATATATTATATATATATATACATATATATATATATATATATATGAATAGGTATATATTAATTATTAGACTGAGGGGACAAATTATACAAAAAAATTTAACTTACAATGAGGCCATAAATGTGCTATAAATAATGGAACAGCGGGTTAAATTAAATTTATAATTTTTATTTCCATACATCTGTTTTCTAATGTTTTAGTATTTTTTTAGATATATTTACAGAGCACAAATGAGAAAACTTATAAGATTTCAACACTTAAAGAAATCTATTTTATCGGTTGTCACTGACTTTGATACTGCATTGAGTAAACCCCAGCTTGCATATTGGCTGGTGTTGACATCTGTTGTCCATTAGCAGCTTGTCCTGTTCCATTACCCATTTGATATGCAGTGGCATTTGCCATCTGATATGGATATCCAGTATATTGACTGTAAGCAGCGGCACCACCATAGCTGGCTTGCATACCCTGCACATATTGGCCTTGCATTTGAGCATATGGGTACCAGTAATTCATTCCTTGATTATATGCCATATTATATGAGTATTGACCAGTAGTATCGGTACTGGCTGCAGCTTGTGCAGCTAGATTAGCTGCACTATTTGGGTCACCTGACTCTTTACCCCAGAAACATTTAACAGGATGTCCATTAATTTCTGTATTATGTACAGCTTCAATGGCAGTCGTAGCTGCTTCTTTTGTAGAAAACTTAATAAATGCATACCCTTTATCTCGGAATGCTCTAATTTCAACAATTGTGCCAAAGCGTGAAAACACCTGTTCAACTAGTTCTTCTGTTAAGCCTTCAACAATGCCTCCACAGTATACTGTACAGTTTGTAGGACTGGACTGATTATACACATCATCAAATGTTACTGCTCGATAACCACTGTACTTGTTTGGGGCTCTAGGTGGAGGTGGCTTTCTAGTTGACCAATTTGTCCGGATGCTCCGACTACCCAGCCATTGACCATTCATTGAGTTAATAGCATTTTCAGCATCAGATTTTTTTACAAATGATACAAAAGCGTATCCTTTAGACTTTAAAGTTTGAGGGTCGCGTACAATACGACAATTTGAAATCTCTCCGAATGGTGCAAATGCCTCTTTCAGAGTATGTGTTTCAATTTCAGGGCTTAGATCCCCAACAAATATATGATAATGGTTGCTTGTATCAAGCTTAGGCTGATTGCCAGGCGTTGTGGCCCAATTGACTTTCATCTCTTTATCTAAAAAGAGTCGACCATTCATTGCGGCTAGTGCTGTAGCCGCACCCGAATGAGTGTCAAATTCAAGAAATGCATAAGGATCACTGCCTGGCTCACGTATAACTTTGCATGCATTTACTGGACCAATATTTGTGAACAATGCACATAGCAACTCTTCGGTAACTGATGGGTCTAAATTACCAACGTATAGCGTACGAGGATTGCTCTCGTCACTCATTTTATACTGTTACTTATATCGTTTATTTTTATTTTAATAACAAAATAATACTTCGTACGTGTTTCAATAGTAAACGTATTTAAAGTGTTGGTTTACTCACAGACTGTTAAGCGTTTGTTGACGAAACAGACGACTCGTCTCTGAGCGGTTGCACAAACAATGGACGGGCGTATCGTTTTATCCGTTCCGGAAAAACCAAATTGAAATGTACAAGATACACCTATGGTCGGTAGGACTGACGGCGGACAAGGTGCAGATACGTAATAATTAGAGAACAAGCAAACGAAAAAAAAAAAAAAAAATAATAACAATCAAAACACGATTCACTAACGCCTAACGAGATACACCATTTTTTTTCACGAAAAATTATACGTAAAGCGAAAAAGTTCACGTAAATAATGAAAGGTTAAAAAAAAATGTTCGTATCACCACTTTTCACAGTGCCGACGAAATTCGGCGCATCTGGTTGCCTGCACTGGTTACCGGTGGACGACGATGACGAACTGGCCGCGTTTTAGTTCGCCAGTTACGACTTTGGTGGGGAATGTTGTGGATCGAAATCGTTTCGCGGCAGTCCCCGTCCACGGTTTCCCTGAACTCGAAGCAAGGAACGTCGTCGGCGAGAAAACCGACGCGTAGTGTGACAATTCGGTCCTTCCGGCGAGGCGGCACTGCGAACGTCGCTTACGTAATGCTCAGGCGACCGACCGCGCACAGCACAGATAGTGCTGTTTAAATATGGCGGCAAAGAAAAAAACGCCACACCGGGCACACCGCCTCTGGCCCCTCTGGGCCAAGCGGTGACGTTTTGTCTTATGTGTTCTCATCCGAATGGTAGTTTGCTAGCCGGCTAAACAAATAACTTGGTGTTAAAAAAAATAACTGATTGTCATTCCATGTTGTATTTAATTATTACTATTATTGAGTAATAGCTGCTGTCGTTGCTTTAAAGGTATAAAATAATATGTTTTTACAACCTCACTGATAACGATTATACTACCTAATATCGTATAGACATAAGTCATAACTAATAATAATATATAAAACTATATTATTATTATGTCCATGCCGAATATTTACGTTGTATTCTTATTGTAATAATTAATAGGTATTCAATTTCCAATTTAGACTTGCTGCAAATTTTGTTAAGAAGATACTAAATCCGCATATGGTATATCCGTCTTCCAAATTTTGAAACGTACGATAAATTGCAAATTTTCTTTCAGTAGAACTAATGTTGTATTTGTTGTATTATTATCTTAATTTTAAAGCAAACTGACTTATAATCAAACTTAAAGGTAAGCGAACATTATCTCTTCTATTGGTTTTTTACGATATTTTGATTTTTAAGCAAGTAATGAGTAGGGATGTATAATACTAAAATATAAAAATGGCTATAAATGTGACAAATCTCCAAAACTGTATTTCCAAAATCTTTTACAAATATATTTTATGTAACAAAATTATCAGTCTTTCCTACCCAAGCAATATTCTGCTTACGCCACCGAGTGTTAATCACCATGACATTATATAATTATAATATTATTCAATAATTTATTTATGCTACAAATAAATAATAGTGAACACGATACGTATTATAGATATTGTTTAAAACTATCAAATTTACTTATTAGTATTATTATATTTACTAATCGTAAATATTAAGTATAGTTAATGTAGATAGTTTGCGCTATTATTTTTTAAACAAACCTTATTTTAAAAAATAAAAAAGTTCATAATATGTAACCTTGTAGGTAAACCTATAATACATTTCAAAAAGCACAACGGATCATTGACCAATGATCAAAGTTAGTTATACTTATTGTTCTACCCTTGAATATTTGTAAAATATAGTACCTATATCGCATGATAATTCCAATTTGCAATATTATGCTATAAAAAGCATGGTAAGTACATCAAATAGGTAGGTACTTTTCAAATACCTATTATAGTTATTGTGTGATTAGCTGTATAGGTATCATGTGAACTATAATGCATCGAAAAGTGTTAAATATTATGTATAAATCTATAAATTAAAAAATTAAAAAATGCTCAATAAAAACGTCTTCAAAAAAAAAAATAAAAATAATCACTATAATAAACTGGAGCAAAAATTCAAGTTACAAATTTTTAGACTTATTTATTTAGACCAGATAGATCGTAAAAATAAAAATATTTTAAGAAAATAAGCATTAATAGGTACGAAGAAACTACGAAAATATGCAATCACGTGCTCTAACCCGTAATATTTAACCATATAATATGATATATGTAAAATAAGATTTCGTATTTGAACTATAAATAATTCAAAACAAATTTTGGCCAAATCCATTTTTTTATACGGTATAGCAAAAAAAACAAAAAAACATGTAAATGGATTATTAAATTCACAGCCCTGATTCTATAATAAACCTACGATCATCATCAAGTGGGGTTGTTTGGAGTACATTGTAACAAATAAGTACCATGTGAACCAAAAACAGTTTTTACTTTTACCGTAAGTATATAGATGCTATGATATATTATTATATATTATATTATTATTATATGCTATATTATTTGATTAAAACGATTAATAAGCACTATAGTACTTTACTACACAATAGTACATTGTATATGTATAGTATACGCCCTAGTTTTGGAGTGGTCTTGGTTTTCATGTTTATTCAAATTATAATTTTGCATACATTTTTACAACCAGTTGTGTATAGATTATTCAAATACATTAGCATTATTAAAAATGTAAATGGAAAACTTCTGCTCCGTTCGTTACCTATTTCCTTTGGTATAGCCTGTTGACAATTCGACATTATTATTTATCACAGATTATGTGAATATTGCGCATTTAATAATAATATGGTATAACAATAATAATGTTTTTTAACGGGTACTCTTCTAACTTCAGTATCTTGAATAATAGAGAGAAGTTATTATAAGAAATGTATTTATTATATAGGTATAGGTACTAGGTACTTACTAATTACAGTATAACTTGTTAAGTATAGGTTTAATAATACCTATGCATTTTTATAAACTTTTAATTACATTCTGATATATTATATTATTATTATTTTAGTTTTATAAACTTAGTATAATATCAGATACAATTTATTTATTGGTAATTTATATCATGTATCATATACAATGTATTAATATCATATTTTTGAGTGAAACTATAAAAAGTGGGGGTCGTAATCGTGGTGACTCAATTAACACAAGGGGTCTCGCAATATTCATGTAGACTCGCATCCTTATCCGGGGACATTGAGTGTCTCCTTTTCCAAGAAGTGAGCAACATGTGAACATCTCTAAATTATATAATTAAATAATACATTACTTATGTTTTTTGTCCTGACCTTATCATTGCTTGCATTATTTATTTATAGAATACCTACGTGTCGCCACACCGTGAAATATTCTTTATAAGCATTTTTATACTTAAGTGTCATGGACTCGTAACAATTTTATACTATGATGTATATTTTTTTTTATTATTTTTTTTTTTTTTGTAGATCTGTGCACAAATACACAATAAGTTGTCTATAAATTCTTTGATTTTCAAACATGGGTGTATTTTTTGATGTAAATTTGATTGTAGATTGTTCTTTGGAGAAATCAAATTAAAAATTTCTATTTGTTATTTTTATAATCCGGAAAAACAATCAAAAAATAAGAAATTTGTATGCAAATCCAATTTTTGATAAAATCGATTTGGTTTATTTTATGTAATTTAAATCAAATAACTATGGATATTTTAAATTTTCATCAAATGTATATATCATTATTTTTATTTAGAACACAATTTATTTTTCAAAATATTTCGATTATTTTTAAGCTATTTCCAGGTATGTGAAATTTTAAAATTCTTTGCTTTTTTTTTTTTAAATGTCGATTAAAAATAATTCGTTACGTAGAAATACTTGAAAATTTTAATACAGCTATCCTCTTACGTTGTTAATTTTCTAATGAAAAAAAAAATAGAAAACTTTTATCACGATATTTTTTTATAAGCGTTTAAAGTTAAAATGTTGACAAAATTCATAAAAATTCATAAATTACAAACCATTTTGTGGTTAAAAATGCATAAAAACTTTTCTTTTTCAACATCTCCAATATTTATAGAATCAGGTCCATAGTATTTTATGCAAAACAGTCACTAAAGCTTTATAATACATTTTTCTACTAGTATTGTTGGTTTTTAGGTAATTTACTATTTATGTCGAAATGCAGCACAATTCTTTTTGCATTAGTTCGGTTATGAATTATACGGGTCTTCAGTCTACACTATTTACGCAAAACGTATTAAAATTTGCAATATCATTATACTTGTTTAATACTGAGTAATTCATGCTGTCAAATGATCAATAAAGACTAGTCAATGGATTACTATTTTGCTTAATATTTGGTGTTAATTAAGTTCTTTTTATTTAAATTCTTTGTCATTTTCTTTTTTATATTTAATTGACTCACTTCCCGTATGCCTATCGTGTCATGAATATGAATATGCATCAGTGGAAAAATACTACTTTTATTTTTTTTATTGATAAAATTTGTTGTATGAAATTTTGATTTTAAATGCATCTTTGTTAAACTGTTATTACTTTTAGTATTATCGTTAGATTTTAATATATTCTAATACGTTTTTGTATTCTCTAATATAAGACCCACAAATTTGACAAAACTTAACGTCACCACCTTTAATCCAAAATGGTTGGTGTTGAAGTTCATGATTTTTTATTGCCGAGTCAGTTACTGACAAGTGAATACTTGTGTTATTTGGTTATTAGTTAGAACTATTGTATTATTCATTACGTTAAAATAATTATTTTTTTGATGTCTGTCTCTTTTGTTTTGATATTTTTTATGTGAATTTTACCTTTACAGTGTAAATCTATTTTGGAATTATATCCTAACAAAATAATATTACAAAGTTATAATTTATTACTGGAAAGTTTGCATCGTATTTATGTTTTTGTAAATTGTGTATTTTATGGACCTTTAAAATTAACCATTACAACCAGCACATACATATTTAGGTACTTCATTAGGCGTTCTGTTAGTCATATTATATTTTATGCTTGGTATTTTCGGAAATTTATAAAATATAATATAGATGTTATGAATACTCAATTTACAATTGTTTATTAAAATTTCTGGGTGTCTGTGATTTTTTTTCGCGAAAAACGCAAATTGTTTACCTGAGTTGCTTCCAATATATTAATGCTGAATTTATCTTTTAATTGTTTGTACTTTGTAGTGAATTTTCATTGACTATTATTAAATTTTTATTTAATATGTTACAAATGAAAGCAAGATTTCGTATGTTAAATATAGTATCTTGTTTAACATATTGCTCAATATTTATTAGTTTCAAAATATTTAGATTAGGCAAAGAAAAGATTATTATTGTATGAGTACAAAAATCGCCACCTCCTGGTACTAGTTGTCATTTTTCAAATTGTTTTATTAATTCATTAATATATTTTTCATTATTATTTTAATTTATATAGTTAGAAAAACCGTCTTATCGAACTAAATCTAAACTATCTATTTTATTATTATTTTCATTTTTCTGGTGCTTTTGGTTAGAGAATAATTAAGTTACTTTACAACTATAATTAATATTCCACTTTAACGTTTCGTTTTGTTTTTTATATTTAAACATTATGTTATT